TCGAAGTTGATGGCGCCATCGCTGTCGTCACCATCACCACGAGAACGAGAGGTGTTCAGTTGCAGCTGGGCCTCCGCCTCGCCACGGTGAAGTTTGCTCCTCTTGCTTCCCGGGTGGCGCTGGGTATGAGTCTTCACCACCAGGTTCTTGCTGCTGTGATGGACACGGGCTGGCGCCGCCACTTCGGGGAACGAGGTCTTGATGGCTGATTGGACCAGGGACTGGCTGTCCGAGAGGACAGAGCTGATGACCGAGCCAGCCAAACGCGCAAAGACCTCAACAAACTCGGTGAGCATGTCGCCCATCCCTCGGCTCTTGCTTCAGGAACTTGATTTAAGCTACCATACTGGGGATCGGGGCTTCCTTATTGTGGGAACTTAAACTGACGTCCTCAACCCGAACCCCTAGAATCCTTGTACGAGAGCCCAGATTCGGGTCAGGAAGGAGAGAGGCGGCACCACTTGCAGCAGCTTGTTCCCGAAGCAGCCGAAAACGTCGCCGACGCCCCCAGCCGTGACGCAGCCTGCCACCTCTTAGGGTTGAGCGTGTAGGGTTTTTTTAGGGTTTAGGGTTTAGGGTTGAGGGTTGAGGGTTTAGGGTTTAGGGTTCAGCCACCTCACGGCCGATGTCAACAATGGCACGGATTGGGGCCAGGCCGTGGCTGACGACGGTCTTCACGGGCTCCGGCCAGTTGACGTTGGTGTTCCCGAAATTGAAATCGAAGAGCGTGATGCTTTGGCCCATGAGCCTGAGGGCTTAGGGCTTGGGGCTTCGAGTTTAGCGTTTAGGGGTTTGGAGTTAGGGGTCAAGGGTTTAAGGTTTAGGGTTTAGGGTTAAGGGTTTAGGATGCTTCGGCGCATGCACCTGATGTAGCACTTCTGCCGGCCCCAGTTGATGCGGAAGCCCGTGGAGTCCACGCCCATGGAAGGCCATGAGGAGTCCGGGCAGCCGGCGCCGAAGTCCGTGAAGCCTCGCAGCCTGGGCTCAAGTTTAAGTTAATTACCATAGTTTAGGATTCTTTTAAGGGTTCTACAAGGATTCTAGGGTTCAGGGTCAGGGACATTGATTTAAGTTACCATAATGAGGAAAAGCCTATATACTGTAGGTCCTTGTTATGGTTTTTTATAGGAAAATTATAGCCCTGAATGGGAACCCAGCAGCAAGATGGTGACGGCCATTTCGACGGTATCGATGACCGTATTGGCCACGAAGGACACTTGGTCTGCAGCTGCCTCATAGGCATCGCCCAAGGCGTCACCCACCAAGCCTGTGCCATCCGTGACGGCACCGGCCACACCTCCGGCCACATCCGCAATGCCGCTTCCGACGTCCTCGATGAATTTCGAGCTCACAACGGCATCCAAAGCCTCAGACTTCGACTTGGACTCCTGCTTCTGTCGAGCACTCCGCTCCAAGAGCGCCGCCTTCTCTCCCTCTGGAGCCTTGCCGGCCTTGCTGGCCTTGGAGTCCTTGGAGTGCGGAGTGAGGTATTCGCGAGTCTGCCTCTGGTGATGATGCTTCTGGATCACCTTCTTGAAGACCCGGCTTGCCTGGCAGAACATGGGCAACTCGAGCTTTCAGCTCTGCAGCAGAGCAACAGTAAGCCAAGCGTAACGAAGCTGCCCCTCAGCCCTGAAGCCTAAACCCTAAACCCAACAACAAAACAAAATCTAACTCCTAAACCCTGCCCTATACTAATTCCTAAATCCGGCCTAGAAACCCTAAACCCCTACACCCTGCCTCGAGCACTTGGGCTTTCTCCTTCGCCCTGCGCTCACGGAGGCTCGTGGTTGAGTTCGACGCGGTCGATGTGCCGCGGACCTCGGCCCTCAGTTCGTCGATCTCCGCCTCTCGCGCTTCTGTAGGGTTTAGGGTTTGGGATCCAGCGTTCAGGGTTTTGGGTTTAGGGTTCAGGGTTTTGGGTTTAGGTTTTGGGGATTTAGGCTTTAGGATTTTAGGGTCTTGGGCTTACACAACATCGTAGTGGTTTATAAAGCATGAAAGCCCTGCTGCTTTATAAAAACACTACGATCTCCGCCTGCTGCTTCTGCAGCTGAGCTTGTTGCAGCTCAACCACCTCAGATGCCCGCAGGAAATAACGATAAGATCCCTGTAGGCCCTATATCGCAAAAACGTGATATGCCCCAAGACCCTTGTCTAATCGTTCAGGAAATACTTCGCTCTCTCCATTTGCACACCCCTCACCCCTAAACCCTAAACCCCCATCTAAACCCAACCCCCACCCAAACCTTAAACCCTAAACCCCCAACCCTAAACCCGAAACCCCTAAACCTCATAAACGAGCCGCCGTCTCCATTTGGGCCACCTTCAGCAGCAGAAACTCAAGGTTCGTGCCCAGGTCGCCGAAACCGTGGCGCCGCTGCCCGTCGCCTGGGCTCTTGTTGAGGAACTTACATCAAGTTACCATACTTTGGGATTCCTTTAAGGGTCCATAAGGGTTCTATGAGGTTTAAGGAGCCTACATTAAGTCTCCATATTTTGGGAGCTCCTTTAAGGCCGTAAGGGTTTAGGGTTGAGGAACTTACCTTGAGTTACCAACGTAGGGTTTCATGCTAGATCATGGGGTCTTCATGTTGTGGTAGCTTAAACTACCTTCCTTAGCAACAGCCCAGTCGCTCTGGTTGCTAGTGTTCTCCATGTCGCCCAAGCTGTCCACTTCCTTGAAGACATGTGCCAAGTTGCCAACCAAGATCTCCTCAAGGCTGTTGTTGGTTCCATTGGTGCCATTGGTGCTGTTTCCATGAGAGCCAGTGAGGTTCAAGGGCAAATCCTCGGTGATCGACAACTGCGTCACCTGAGTCTCGGACTTCACGGCAAGCAAGGAGGGGGCTGCGACACAGTCTGCCGCAGCGGTCGTGATGGAAAAGAGCAGGCCAAGAAATGGCCAAACGGTCTGCATGATGCAAAGTCAATGAAGGAAATTGCGAGGTCTCGAGCCAGCAGTTCCTGCGAAGTGAAGAGACGGTGAAGCCTGGGAGTGGGAGTTGTGGTGCCGTGCCATGTACCTGTCGCAACCTTCAACCTTGAGCGCTTAAATCTCTTGCGTGGCTGAAGCCTCACCGCCGAAGTCACTCCATCGACAGCTCGCGAAGACTCGCCTGCAGGCATTGCTCGTTGCTGCTTCAGCAGTTGTGGAAACTCTCCTTGGGCCACCTAAAACCTGTTGCTGGAAAACACCATGGACAAGCCGTTAACTCACCTACACCCCAACAGCACACTACAGCCGTTGACCGGGCTCACAAGAATCTACTTGCATAGGACAACTGCAGTACGTTCATATGCACCGATTTACGCGCCGGATGGTGCGAGATTGCAATCAGCGGTCATACATCGCCAGATCACAAGCCTCCCTGACCCCGAGCGGTGCAGATGCGGAGATAAACATAGAGGCAGAGAGGCAGGAATTTGGCTGCAAATGTTGATGCAGCCTCGCACTCTCTCGTATGTGGCAAAGTGATGGGCACCATGAGCTCCAGATTTCACCCCATGTTCTGCATGAGACAGCTATCCTGCTCAGGTGTTTCCACAAAAACTGTGAAGATCTTGCAGGGTGGCCTGTGTTTCTCGCTCAGTACATGACGTCTTCGTGCCTCCGATTGCTTGAGGCAGTTGACCGCGGACTTTCAACGCAGTCAGAAGCCATGAGCTACGAGGAAACACAGAACAAACGCCCTGGACCCTGAACCTTGCGGTGCTGAGGGCAAGGCCTGCTTCCACCCATGTCGGTAAGACCTCGCGATTCTGACAACAAGGGCTTATTAATGATCTTACTAAGGATAACAGAACCAATAAGTCTAATAATAACAGTAGCAATAGCATAAATAAACACTACGAGTAATACGAATAATCACAACAATAATGATAGTAGTAGTAATAATAATGGCAACAATACTAATGGGTTTTCTGGGGTGACCTAGCTGCTCGAACACGTTTCTTGCGGTTGACCAGACGAGCAGGCTTCTCTTGACTGGCTAGGCTTGTGCATCTGCCGTGTCAATGAAAATGGTCCGGAATCGTTTCTAGCCTCTAGCCTGAGCTATCAGTGACTGAGGAAATCAAACAGTGGCTCATTCTCTTTTGTGGGGCTTCTGGAAATTTAACCGAAGCAGCAGACATGGATTGTAACAAATCGAAAAAACATGCTGGGAAAAGCTGGAGGTGCAATGAATGCCTTGATGTGCAATTGATCTAGGGGCTTGGGAAAAGAGTGACTCACGGGACAAGCAACATGGGCGTGAAAGGGGCAGCGAGCACCCGCATCTGCAGAATCCGAGCACAGACCTGCGAAAACCGAACCCGAGGATCTTTTCATAACAGTCTTTCGGGCGTCAGAACTTAAATGCACAGGATGATGCGTCACTGAACCGGGAAAGCTTGCAGGCAACTTGGCTCCACGCGAGGATCTTGACAAGCGGCCAGGGAGCCGAGGAGAATACTATAAGGGCATTAATGATCAGATTTTTTGGCGTCCTTCGGCCTTGTCGGTGGCGCAGCCACACTTGGTCTGGAGCGAATCAAGCAAACAAATCAAGCAAGAAAACCAAACACAAAAAAGGATATTAAAAGATGGGCAACTTTTCAACCATTTGTTCAACTACACCGCCGGAGAAACCTACACAACAAACTACTTAGCAGCCTGACGAAGAAACAGAAACGGATCGACATCTGCGACTGCCCGCTAGAAAGGTGGTATCCCAAAGTCAAAGACACTGGTGTTGTTGAGGGGACGCCAACAAACTGAACTGCTTAAGAAGAGTGAATGGGCACATTGAGTTAGAACTGGGGTTAACCCCCATAACAATGTTGTTGCAAAGCGCGTGGCATGCAAGTGGCAGAGCAATCAGCGTCTGCCCGGGTCCCATTTTTCTCGGCCCGGGTCCCACATTCCGTTTAGGTCCGAAAAGTAAAAATAACAGTGGACTTCTCTTTAGTGTTGTAGCCCAGATCATTTTCCAAACCGGGTCGGCAGTGTCCGTTATGAGCAACCTTTATAATCTGGTTCCGCGATTCCGCTTTGCGAGCCGTAAAACCAATGCGAAATCCGTAGCCCTGCAAGTACCCCCCCAGTAACTCAATGCCTCGCTCCCTCGAGGCCATCTAATACAGTCTGCGCTCTGGGGCAAAGCAAGAGCACTGTGATCTCCAACAAAATGCAGAATCACACATGAAACGTCTTCTCCGACAGACAAGAAGGCAAGAAAACACGCAAACAAAGGCTTCTTCACACAAGAGACAGAAAGGTCACACAAAAACGCTTCAGAAAAAATTAAATAGAGAGGAAACGTCTTCTGGACAGACAAGAAGGCAAGAGCTTTCTTTGCCTGAAAAAACAGCAAATAAAACGAACAAAGTTTCCAACACACAAGACAGAGGAGCTGATCGAGACGAAGAAACAGAGATTCTTTTTGGAAGGCTTGCAATCGACCGACTTGTAAATAGAATTACCAAGATCTGGCAAGGCAACGCGTCCTTCTAAAAACATGGAGTGTCCGAGGCGGCCTCTTCAACCACAACGTTGACAGAAAACACACAGCACGTGAGTGGACCCCGCGGAGGGGCGGGTTGGAGGTTAGAGTTGAATCACAGGAGAGAGTCCAACATTTTGTCGGATAAGCATGTGTGATTAAATTCATTTTGCTGAAACCAGCTTCATCTAACTTGCTTCTTTTACTCCAATCTGCAGACCGAGGTTGGGTTCGAGTTTGCTCCAACCTCACTTGTGGGCTGGTTGGAGTTTGGGTGAAACTTTAACTCCAACCTGCGCAGGTTGGAATTCCGGAAAAAAACCCAGTGCGAGCCAACCCTAACTCCAAGTTCTTCAGCCGCGAAATGTTCAAGATCGCAGGTGAGCACTGAGGATTTTAAAACATCAATGCGCTTCGCACAATCGTGTCGCGTCAAGCTCGGAAAGATTGCAAGTAAAGTTGGAGCATGTTTTGTGTTGTGCGAAGCGAGTTTGTGGACATGTCGACAAAGCTGCCGATCGTGCTGGAATGTGGGCAGAAGTGAAAGTCTTTTGTTTGACAGCTTCGAGAAGCTGAGCACCCGAACTCCGATCTCTTGGAGGTTGACTGAAACAACTCCGTAGGTGAGAGTTGAACCGGAAAGCTACACGAAAATTGAAGCTGAAGTGCCGGATGCAAAAGAAGCAGAGTCGAGAAAGTGTGCCTGAGCGAGGAAGAAAGCTGGAGCCAGAGGGAGGTCTTAAGGGATAGACGAACCTTTTCTGCACATCGAACGTGCTCTGCATGCTCGAAGAGCTTTGGCCAGAGAGCGCTCGGAGCTGACTGACTTTCTCCTGCAGCCAGCTCGGCACACGCTCCTCTCTCCAGCACAAAGGCAGCCGCCGCCTCTTCGCCATTGTAAGCACTGGGATGCCACAGAATCCGAAAGCTTTGCTACGAGCTGCTGTCGACTCCTCCAGTTTCACAAGGTCATAGGGAAATATTAGGCAAAAAAATTGGGAAAAAAACAATGTTTAGGCTTCTTTTTTAGCCGTTCCCCAAATTTTTCTTATGATGTTACAGGAACGCCTTCGGGTGGTAGGCCTGGCGCGGGAAACT